AAGCTGCCAAAATCAAGAGGAATGGAAAATATGGGGATGAGCAGGTTCACAGATCCTTTATCAACACCTCCCTTTGCTGCTGATCTTGGTGCTGGGGATCAGACCCTGGGAGCCAAGGTCCCATTCAGAGATGCGGCCATGCCACATGGCATCAAACCCCATGAGATGCCTTTTCCTCACCTTGGGTGCTGAAATAGCTCCTCCAAGCTCCTTCCTGCCCCTGTTTAATGAACTCTGTCCTTGTTTTTGCCCAGAAACCAGAGTCAAACCCACTGATGAAATAGTCACCACCCGGTGTGGCAAGAACCCCAACCGTGTCCTGGTGTACATGTTCGTGCCGCCAAGCTCGGAGACCTCCAAGGAAATCCTCAGGACGATTGCGATTGAGAAGGAGCCCGCGGAAGAGGTGGAAATCTACAACTGGAAGCTGATTAAAGGTGAGTACCGTAACAAAACCAGCCAGCAATGGAGGAGGTGTGTGTGGAAAGTTGGTGCTTTCAAAGCTTTGTTCAATTTCTCCGGCTTTTCTCGTGGTGCTCCAGACCTTGTGTAGTGAGTTGAAACCTGCTGACAGCAGGTTGGCTTTTCTAACTCTCCCCTTTCGCACTCTTTTGCTGCAGCTGCATGCAGACCAGGGGCTGGAAACCACTTTTGGCCCCAGTGTACCCCACCATGAGCTACACCACCATTCAGAGGCACAGTATGTGGGCAAACAAGGCACAGGCCATGGAGCTGCTCCTCCAAACCTGCCTGCGTCCATGCCAAACACACATGGGAAACAAAACAAAAAATTGTTCTGGTCATTCCATATTTTTGTTTTTATTCTTTTTTTTCCCCTGTCCACTCATCACTGGGAGCAAAACTTGCAGAACTGCTGCAAAGGTGCATGCAGGGGGGATGGATTGCCCCCAGCCCACTTTTTGGACAGGTAGATTTAGATGCTTCTCTTGGTATGTCCTCCAGAGGTCAAAGTACAGCAAATACACTGTCAAATGACACCAATCTCTTGCTCTGTCCCTGTACCTTTAGCTTTGCAACACTCTTATGGACCAGAGGAGCTTATCTCTACTAGAGACACTTGGTCCAGTAGATATTTGTGTTTTGTTTCTCTTGGGCTCAGGAAAGCATGACAGGGCCCCAACCCCGAGTCTCTGTTGGACATACTGTACCCCTTGCAAAAACTTGTGCCTTGAGCACTTGAGGTTGGTCGCACCTGTGGAGACAGTGACCTTCAGCCCGTGTAGCTGGCTGTCTTCTGGACATCTGTAGGCAGATATTCTGCTCTCTTGGGTATGTTCGTGTCTCATCTCTGTCCCTAAGGAGACCTCAGCCCTCCTGGGGCTGGATCTTCCCAGCCGCTGAGGGTAGGCATACTTGGATAGTAGCCAGAGAAATTAACTCCAGAGATGGAGCCCTGACTGCCACCATGTTTCCATCCTCCCCCTGCCATCCTCCATCCTCCACGGTGCCCCTCTCCCCATCCTCCACCCCGCCTCGGCAAAGCCTCCTTCACAATGGCACCTTGTAGCTGGAGGACAGCTCTGAGCCTGCACTGTCTGGGCCCCACCATTTCCTCTCCTCGCTCCTTGGCAGAGGTCGCCACCCAAACCTTCTCGCCACCTTCTGAGGCCAAGAGCTTCGCGTCTGCACGGAGCTCCCGAGCCCTGCCAGCCAAGGACAGGGGAGGCCCTTGTCCCCGAGGCCAACACAGCTCTTTTGCTTGGCAGAGCAAAGTGTTACTATTGGGAAAGAGCATGAGCTCAGTCACATATGGATTCCACCTCTCCATGGTCCATCACTGTACCAACAGAGCAGCATGTGTGGAGAAAAGAGGCTGCAAGTCACGCCTGGAGCCCGTCCATCTGCCTTTGTATGGGCTTACGATACCTACGTGGCCTCATCTATTTCTGTGCCGGGATGGTTTCCTCCATGAGGCAGGAGAAACCGGCGCCAACACCCAGCCAAAAGCTTTACCCAGCTTGCTGGTGGCGCATGACCAGCCCCCAGATGAGTGGCAGTGGGGGCTTCCCCATTTTTTTAGGGGTCTGAACACCTCAGGAGTTTTTAAATGACTTTCTGATATTTTAGAGCAGGAATTATCATGGGGAGTGAGGAACGGGCAGGACCAGAGAGGGAGCAGCATGGTTTGGAGGCTGTTGTTGACACCTGCCCTTCACCCTGCCTCGCTGGAGGCCTGCGCTGTACTCGGAGGTGCAGTCCCCCCATGGACCTCTTTCTCACATTTACCCTGCCAGGCTGTTGATTAGACATTGGTCAAAATATTCCTTTCTACCCTGAAAACCTGCAGCTCCAGGACCTTCAGCAATCCCCAGTGGTTTACCATGCTGATATACTCTCGCACCTGGGCTGGAGGAGACCTGTGGGGTCTGGACCAGCCATCCCCATGCTCTTCTGGTATGTGCTTGAAGATCTCCTGCCACGGAGACTCTACAGCCCATCTAATTGCTTCCAGAGCCACAAACCCCTTCCTAAGGGAAGACTTTTCCCAATGTGCAGCTTCCCTGCAGCTTGAGCTCATGCATTCTCATCCTCTCCACTGTGGGTGCAAAGAGCAGACTCCTTTCCTCTGAAGATGCCATCAGCTCCTGCCTCTGTCCTCTCTTACACAGTTTAAGCAGTTGAGTTTTTTTCAGTCTTTCCTTGATGTTAGAAATTTCTGGTCCTTTGGTCCTTCTCATAGCTCTGCTCTGGACTCTGTCTGTGTCTGTCTTGAAGTACAGAGCCCAAAACAGAGTGTGGGGCTCTGGTCAATGCTTGTCTCCTGCTGGGATGGGTCTCATACACCCATGTGCACCCATGTTCCCATCTCCATCCACCCACTGAGGCTTTATTTTGCAGACGATTTAGCAAGTCCTGAGACCAGTTTCTTGAATTAGACTCTCCTCACTCCCCAGCCCAGCGTTAAATACCACATTTAAAGAGTCATGTTGGTTCCCCACATAGTCAGCAGAGAGAAGTAGTTACGATATGTCCCGTCCACCCATTTTAGGATGGGTAGAATGGCACTGTGGAAGAGCCTGTCTCTCCCTTGTCTCTCCAAAATTAGGAAAGATTAATTGCTCCCTTGGAGATGGGGCTGGTCCTTAATTCATTCCTTGTGCTCTACTGGACTCGCTTGGTTTTCGGTCCTGAGGCAGTGCCTAAAGCATAGAATTATAGAATCTCAGAAGGGTTTGGGTTGGAAGGGACCTTTAATGGCCATCTCGTCCAACCCACTAGATCAGTGGTTCTGGTCCAACCCCCTGCCATGGGCAGGGACATCTTCCACCGGATCCGGTTGCTCAGAGCCCTGTCCAACCTGGCCTGGGATGTTTCCAGGGATGGGGTATCGACCACCTCTCTGGGCAACCTGTGCCAGTGCCTCACCACCCTCAGCGTAAAACATTTCTTCCTTATGTCTAGTCTGAATCTCCCCTCTTTCAGTTTAAAGCCATAACACCTTGTCCTGTACCTACAAGCCCTACTAAAAAGTCTGTCTTCATCTTATAAACCCCCGTTAAAGCACCAAGAAAGGTGGTAAGTACCCAACAGCCCCACCACCTCCCTCCATCTCATCCTAAACTTTGCAAAGAACGATCCTGTCTGTTGGACAGGATTTGCTTGCTGGGAAATGGCATCAACCTTTACCCGCTCTATCCCGTATTGCCCCTTCGGCGGATGGCAAGCGCAGTGGGCTATTCTTATCTGTGCCGCCTCATGCTCTGCTTGTGTGTGCTAGAGCATCGTCTGCATTCCTCTGCTGCTCCCCAGCTCCTGGCATGTGTCAGAAATGACGGTCCGGGGGGCCAAAGGTCTCAGCCAACTCTCCGAGGGCTCTTGGGTGAACATTATCTAGGTCGGTTGATTAAAAGATGTTTATCTCTTGTAGCTCTTGTTTAAAATATCCTCTTGGTTACTAATGTACTGGAAAGTGCTTCATCAGCCACAGGGACTATAAGCACACGCTCCTGCTCCTTTCTAAGTATAGACCAGAAGGATTTATTGAACACTTGTGCATTTCTTGCGTCATTAACAGTTTTATTATCTCCATCAAGTATCTTCTTTTGTTACTGGTAGGACTTCTTTTCCTGACCCATTTAAAGGACTTATTAATAGTCTAAATATCCACATATTTCTCTGGGTGTCTTTGACTTCCTGTATTAATTTTCCACAGTCCATAACATCTCATTTATATGGATTGCTAGCCTATTCCCATTCGTTACATACTCTTTTATGTGTAATTGCTGCTGGGAATCAGGGAAAGTCTCTTAACCAAATAAGGGGGACCATGTTGCCTCTGACATCTGCCGGCAGCGAGATGCTGGATGCACGGGGAGCCTGGGTGAGAGGTGGGGAAGGATATGCTAGGCATACTTGCCTGGTTTGTCACGCTTTGCAGGCGAATATGAATATCGTAACCCCTAATCCTGCAGAAAGGTCGCTTCCGTTGCTAAATACAGGTTCTGGTTTTCTTGGGTCAAACATCTGAGTCAGGCACCTCCACTAACGGGACGATGCTGGCTCGGACAGAAATATCAATCTCTGCTGAGGTCATTTGTGGTTTTTTCTGTCCTGGAGGAGTTTCAGGGCTGGGGGCAGAGGGATGGAAAACATTGGTCCCCGGCTGTTTCCAGGAAAAGGAAAGCATCCGAGGATGGAGGGGCATCTGCGGTTGGGGAGGATAGGTAGTCAAGAGTGAGCAGAGAGGATGGGGATCCCAGGATCCTGTTGGTCTCATTTTATTTCTATTATGGTCTGGGGGGAGATCAGACCTCCTCCAGTGCGAGATGCTTTTCAGAGCAACAAAATCTTATTGCTTTCACCTACTTTGTAGTGTTGTCCCTGCTGCGTTCTGATTTAATAAGCAGTTACTGTTTTCAAATGAGATTTCTCCTGGTCCTTGGCCAGCCCTGGATTTGCTCCCAAACTCCCACCAGGCTTCAGCGGCAGGCGGGGCCCTGTGTCCCTTTTTGCATCTCAGGAGGGGACAGAGAGGTGTGCATCCAAACCCATCTGAGCCTTAAATCGAGCGTCGCAGAGTCTGATGCCCTCTGTTTTTGCAGGGATATTTCATCTGATACAGACCAAGAAGATCAGCAAACAGGAATTCAAGCAAGAAGCGCAGAACTTCAGGCTGATTACGAGGACGAACGAAGGTAGGGAGAGAAAAATCCCATTTCCCCACTCTTCTGGCAGACCCTGCCCCAAACAACCCAGTGTTTTGCTGCATAAATCCTGGCATGGCGTGTGGAGCAAACCGCAGGGAGAAGGCTTGTGCAAACATAGCCGGGTCGGTGCTGACCTGTCTTCACACACATATGCAACACTCCTGGTTAGCAGTCACATTTTCGCTTTATGGTATCAGAAAGGGCAGCCAGCTTTCTAAAAGTGGATGCATGCTTGTGAAATCCAAAGGCTTTGTCTCTCCAAAGCCTGTAAAACTGTTTGATTTTTATATCTAATCCATCTGGCGTTATGGGGGGAAAAAAAAAAAAAGATGCGAGGGATTTGAAAAAAAATAAACTCTTGAAATATTTTTAAAAATCATTCTTAATGTTCTTGGATGTGCGTAAATGTTA